TTACATACAAAGAAATAATCACACATAGAATCAATCAGATGTATGAATGCGATTATTGGCGACATCCATTGCTAGAAACATAATATATGCATTAAAATACTGTTAATATATATATATATATATATATATATATATATATATATAAAAATATATATATATATATATATATATATATATATATATATATATATATATATATATATATATATATATATATATGTATACATATATATATATATGTATATATATATATATATAATTATTTATTCGAAAAATTATAACATAAATATGTTATAAAATCACTACAAAGATAGCCATTTTGTTTCAACACCTCTGGTGTCTTATCAAGTGATGATGTTGAATGTAGAATAAAGGTTTTTAAAAGGCTCAAATCAATCAAACACCCCTTGCAAGGGGAAACGCTGTTACATAAGCTGGAATGACCAATCAAAATACAAGTATACGAGAATTCAAAAAACTTGACAACGAACTAAGGTTATAATAACTATTTAATGCCTTAATGTTGGAGTTAGACTAAAATAGAATTTATTCTGACTAATAAGTATTAAATTATACGATAAAATTTGAAATTAAAAATTACGCATTTTAAAATTTAAATTTCATCTCTATTAAGGTTAAAATTATACAATTACTGAGGTATAATACATATGTTATTCTATTTTATAACTAGAGGCAGCAGAAGTGTGGTTCTACAGAAGGATACTGAGAATTCTATGGACAGAATGAGTAAGAAACAAGGAAGATTTAAAGAAAATGTCAACAGAAAGAATACTTCTACTCAGAATCATGACAACACAGCTGAAATTCTTTGAACACTTAATGAAAAAAGGAGGACTTAAATGGTTTCTTGAGGGACAGTAAGTTAGGGAAAAGCAACTGACGAGCTTATGTGAATGGAAGTTGGAAAGGAGAGCGGTGTCTTTTTCAAGGGGAGGATAACTGCTAAGTGTCAGAAGGGATAAGAAGTTGTGGTGAGCCTAGATCTCGTATAGCAAACAAGGATGGTTTAAAGAAATGACGCGACACGTAGATGTTAAAGAAGTTCTATACATGTCGCTTCTCTGACGACAAAATGATCATTTTTCAAATGTAAATTATCTATTTAAAATAGTATATTTATTAGAAGACAAAATTTATTCAGAGCTACGAAGGGTAGGAAAATGTGGAGAGTCATGATCGCCAACGTCCTGAAGGGACACGGCACATAGACGAAGAATGAGTTTGAGTAAATTGATGGCGGAGCAAGGTTTAGGAGAGATAACAAAAAGACAAAATTTTTAATAGCTACAAACGAGAGGAAATTGTGGAGAGCCATGATCCCCAACGTTCTAAAGGGACACGGTACATAGAAGAAGAATAATGAGCTTGGGTTAAAGACTGGCGGAGCAAGACTTAGAAGAGATTTTAAAAAAGACAAAATTTATTAAGAGCTACAAAGTAGAGGAAATTGTGGAGAGCCATGATCGCATATGTACTGAATGGACAAGATACATAGAAGAAGAATGAGCTTGAGTAAATGATTGGCGGAACAAGGTTCGGAGAAATATCAAAATGACATCATTTATTAAGAGCTACAAATGACAGGAAATTGTGGAGAGCCATGATCGCCCACGTCCTAAGGGAATATGGTGCATAGAAGAGGAACCGTTTCTTGCCCCAGCGAACGAGGAATTAGGCCCAGAAGTCCTTTTCAATGCTATTCAAATTATGCGTGTACGTATATCTGCGTGTGCATATTTTAGTACATGGATTTACATTATTAAGAAAATCTTCAAAATGAATTATTTTTTATCCAATAATTTTGAAAAAGCTCAAAAAACCCCACAATTATCTAATTTTTAAGGTTTAAAAAAAATTAACTATTTTTTTTTTATCACTGAATATATAATTTTAATACTCAGCCCAAGGTAGGAGATGCTTAGGCAGAATCGGAGCTTAACGTCTTACCCTGTCAGATTGCTTGTATCATCATTTGTGTTTCTTTTAAATGGCGGAAGCAGTTAAGAAAAATAAACAAGGTCTTGCTAACCAGTTAACAGCTCTTTGTCTGGATCCAATCCAAAATCAGTCATCAGGATGAAACATAACAGCCAGTTTCGCACCATTTTTCTCTATTCCATTCTTGTAAGGCGAGACCTCGCCATTGTGGAGACTTCTTCTGGATCGGTGCTAACTGCTCTATCCCGCCATCAATTGTTCTCCAACATTTCTTCAAAATTCTCCAATTTGTATTTCGTTTAAATAAAAATCACTAACGCACAAGTCAGACGAAATTATTTACGTGCATTAAAAATAAGACGCAGAGAAAGAAGGAAAAACTGAAAATCATATTTTTTTATTAGAAAATACCAAAAAATGTCGATATGTATCCTGTTAATGCTAGACATAAAAACGTGGGACTCGGTTTAAAGATGAATAAACAAAAATGTCAGCTTTACATTGAATTAAAAAAATGTAGGCCTCGGTCTTGATTTGAAACTGAAATACGGAAGTTAGACATACGTTTAATTTACACTTGAATTTAAAAAAGTAGACATAAGTTCGTTTTGAATTAGATCGTAGGCACAGTTCTTGTTTACAGTCAATCAAGAAGATAAAAGAGATAGATCCACTTTACACTAGAGTCTAAATCAGGGGTCGACAACTCATTCGAACCCGCGGGCCGGTTCGTGTTATAATGACGGGTCGCGGGCCGGACGAAGGCCATTAACGAAAAATTAAGGAAAATTACATATGCAGACCCCTGTCAACCTAAATTTCTAAAACCATAATGAAAATAAACATTGAGAAATCAGAAAAAACAAAAGAAAATCTAAAATTAAAAAAACACCTAACAAAAATTACTTTTCCTCAAGGAACGTCAAAATACTTCAAAGTGAAAAAAATCAACCGAAGTGAAATGGATGAAATTATGACGTGTAGGTTTGAAACTGTTATTGAAAATTGTTCCACAAACAAACCACACACACACACACACATCAAACAAAAACGAAGCACATATACCCATACATACGAGTACAAATAATGGCAAACATATACACTTACGTACGTACACATGCAGTATCATCCACACATTCATAAGGCATGTATGTATAATGCGCGTATGTTTAACTGTCTTTAGATTTCTGCTACCTCGCATGTCAGTCCCTCCCTGGCCTCTTTCACTTTAACGTTCCTTTTGCTTCTGTTATCTTTTAATGTAGCCAATGGTCACAACAAATATGTATCCATTATTTGACATTAAACGTAGGCAACGCAAATTGGTAAAATAAGTCTCATGAAAGATAACTGGCAGATTCGAAAGCCTCGTCTCTCATGTTTAAAATAGTCATTGGTAATCAAGCTCGCGGGCAATCAAAATGCCTTCGCGGGCCGGATCCGGACTGCGGGCCGTAGGGTGCCGACCCTTGGTCTAAATGGTAGCCATTGGTCCGGTTTGCACTAAATCTAAAAGGTAGGCATTGACCCGATTCGCTTTCTTCTTTATAACCCTCATTTTATTTATATCTGCTTCAATAAATTATTGTTCCTTTCTTTAATAGACTTCTTTTTTCTTTCTTTAATAGACTTCTTTCTTTCTTTCTTTCTTTCTTTCTGTTGTAATCTAGAAAAGGTTACTGAATGAGGAATAACCAAAACGGAGGTTGGAAATAAAATGGTAATCTTTATAACATCAACAAAATGCAATACTCGCCAGCGGCGTGAAGTGGGTAAACCACTTCTAGTGGTGGACTACATAGACACCATATTACCTCCACTTACAATAGTGTCCAATGTATTTATTAGGATTGGGACATACCCATTAGTGTTCACAGATATGGTATATGACACTTTCTTTCTCTAATTAATTTTTATTTTTTTCTTATATTTCAATAAATCCTTCATCCTTTGTTCAATATGAGCGATCATTCGCGCGTTGTTTTCTTTCTTTCTCCTTTTTCTTTTTTCACTTTCCTTCTGTCTTTCATTCATTTTCATTTCTTTCTTCTACTTCAATAAATGCGTGCTCCTTTATTTAATTATAGTACTCATTAATTCGTTTTTTCTTTCTTCTTTGTCCCTTCCTTTTTTCTTTTTTTCCTTCCTCCCTTCCTTCCTTTCTCTCTTTTTCCTTCCTCCCTTCCATTCTTTCTTTTTTCCTTCCTTCCTTCCTTCCTTCCTTCCTTCCTTTCTTTTTTCCTTTCCTTCCACCCTTCCTTTCTTTCTTTTTTCCTTCCTCCCTTCCTTTGTTTCTTTTTTCCTTTCTCCCTTTCTTCCTTTTTTCCTTTCTCCCTTCCTTTCTTTTTTCTGTTTTCCTTCCGCCCTTCCTTTCTTTCTTTATTCCTTTCTTCCTTTTTTCTTTCTTTCTTTTTTTCCTTCCTGTCTTTCTTTTTTCCTTCTTCCCTTCATTTCTTTCTTCTTTCTTTCCTCCCTTCCTTTCTTTCTTTTTCCTTCCTCCCTTCCTTTCTTTCTTTTTCCTTCCACCCTTCCTTTCTTTCTTTTTTTCCTTCATCCCTTCCTGTCTTTCTTTTTCCTTCCTCCCTTCCTTGCTTTCTTTTTTCCTTCCTCCCTTCCTGTCTTTCTTTTTCCTTTCTCTCTTTCTATCTTTCTTTTTCCTTCCTTTCTTTCTTTTTTCCTTCCTCCCTTCCTTTCTTTCTTTTTTCCTTTCTCCCTTCCTTTCTTTCTTTTTTACTTTCTCCCTTCCTTTCTTTCTTTTTTTCCTTCCTGCATTCCTTTCTTTCTTTTTTCCTTTCTCCCTTCCTTTCTTTCTTTTTTCCTTCCTACCTCCCTTTCTTTTTTTTTCTATCCTTCCTTCCTTTCTTTTTCCTTTCTCCCTTCCTTTCTTTCTTTTTCTTTCCTCCATTCCTTTCTTTCATTTCACATTCCTTCAATCTGAGTGATCATTCTTTTTTTTCCTTCCTGCTTTTCATTCATTTTTTGTTCTTCTACTTGAATGAAAAATTCACCCTGTCCTCAATCTGAGCGATCATTAATCTGTTATGCTTTCTTTCTTTCTTTCTTTTTCTATTTCACCATTTCTTTCTTTGTTAGTTTCTTTCTTTCTTTCTTTCTTTCTTAATTTCTTTCTTTCTTTCTTTCTTGTTCTACTTCAATAAATTATTTATCCTTTCTTCAAAGCCAGTGGACATTAGTTCGTTCTTTCTTTCATTTACTTTTCTATCTGCATTTCTTTCTTCGTTCCTTTTCAATAAATGATTCCCCCCTTCTTCAATCTGAGTGATCATTATTCCTTTCTTTTCTTCTTTCTTTCTTTTTCTTTCTTCTTTCTTTCTTTTTCTTTCTTCCTTTCTTCTTTTCTTTCTTTCTTCTTTTCTTTCTTTCTTTCTTTTTATCTACCTTTATTTTGCCTTCCATCATCACAAATACATTTTTTTTAAATTCATAACTGTTCCTTCCTTTTTTGTTCCTGTAACACAAAAACACGCTTATACGCACACCCGTACACTTACACACATCTACGTGTGTGTATTTGTGTGTTTTAGCATGTGTATTCGATTATATCTTTGTCTATATGTCATATGAGAACACAAATTTAACTATATAGACGAATCTATTTGGCATTCTCTCTCCATCTCTCTCTCTGTGTCTCTCTCTCTATATATATATCTGTCTACCTATTTATCTATCTGTGTATTTGTATATATATATATATATATATATATTTGACTATGGTATATATGTTTACATATTAAGAACAATATTGAGAAAATCGTATGATAGCTTCCATATATATATATGTGTGTGTGTGTGTGCGTGCGTGTGTGTGTGTGTGTACAGTTGCATACATATCTGCATATATATAAAAGTGGTATTAGTATTAAAAATATATGCATGACTTTCTCCATTTTTCTTTTTCTATTTATCTATCTACCGGTCAATATATATATATATATATATATATATATATATATATATATATATATATAGATAGATAGATAGATAGATAGATAGATAGTTAGATAGATGTGAACTGACTTAGATAGATAGATAGATAGATAGATAGATAGATAGATATGATAGATAGATGAATATGTGCGTTAACATGTGTGTGTCCGTGTATATCTATCTCAAATGAATCTCTCTCTCTCTCTCTCTATGTATATATATATATATATATATATATATATATATATATATATATATATATATATATGTGTGTGTGTGTGTGTGTTTGTGTGTGTGTGTGAGAGAGACAAACAGACAGACTGAGATTGTTTACTGAATGAGTAGAAAAATGAAGTGGATGTGAGAGGAATTATGAAATAAACAAAAGGAGAATTGTAGCGTTAGAATAAATAACAAAATATGAAATAAATAAAATTCCGGATTCATTCACTGAAGGGGCAAAGAGAATTCGATGAAATAGTGAAGATGAGACGTGGAATAAAAGGTAACGCCCTGAATAATAATAATAATAATAATAATAATAATAATAATAATAATAATAATTGGTATATTTTTTTTTTTAAATGTCAAAATCAAAACAAGCCTACTGGTGAAGATCAGAAATGGCTTCGTCTTGAGCGAAGCCATTAGAATCTTCGGAAGCCATTTGAGAGACTCTCAGGAAGACAATAGGAAACAAAGTGCATATTCTGTACCCTTGTTTCTGGGGCGTAAGTAGGGACAAGTATGGATTTGAGGGGCGGAAAACAGAAGCTAGGAGAAGGAGGAAAGATCGTTCGATTATGAAAAAGAAAAGAAGATGACTGAAGAAAAATGTTAAAATATTTTTTTTTTCAAATGGAGTATAAAAGGATGGAAGAGAAAGACGAGAAAATCAAAAGATATTTTCAGATGAATGTTCTCCCGACATCTAATGAAAAGGTGACAGCAATAAATTGAAGCATACATGATTGAAATGAAAAGGCGAAATCACAAGGTCCTGAACTGAACGAGAAAACGCGTGAAACCCGGAGATTTAAGAAAGTTCTATAGACTTCCACAAAATTACACAAAAAATATCTTGAACGACTAAAGAGTAAATTTATTCATTAAAATCGCCATTGTCGTCCACCACGGCCTACAGACAATTTTGGAATCTCCTGCAACTATTCTGGACGGTTTTCATATTTAAGATTGTAAATGCTGCCATAATCCTTGCCTTCAGTTCATGGTTGGTATTACAAAGAGTTTTTCGGTCTCTAGGTCAACTGTAACACACACAAATTAATCAAGATTGAAGTCTGTTGAATTAGGTGGCCAGATGTAAGGGGTTGATATGGTCACAGAAATTCTCTGACAGCCATGATTAGGTCCTCCTGTGTGTCATGGACCAGAGTACAGTTAGTAGACACAGTATCTTCCAGCAACCACCCTCTTGACCCAGAGCAGTACAACCTACTCAAGGCATTTGATGTAGGCATATGGGTTGAGTCTGAGGCCCTCACCAACAAATTCGGAAATCCTTTTCTTATCAGAAGGGTCAGAGTGAGCTTTCCGAGCTGCCGTACATCCTTAATCACTATTCGACTCACACAACTCTTTCCAAATGCTTTGGACTGTCCTCAGATTGGCACACACCCCACTCTGAAATATTCGTATTGGATCTTCCGGCGCGAATGCCAAGTAGTACGCTATACCGTTTCCAAATTTCAGTCGGAGTGATTTACGTCATGCTGACTTTTCCACATAGACGAAGCCCAACTGATTATTATATGTAATCGACAAAATCAAAAATAACCAAAGCGAAATGACGACAATTTACACATCGCACCCCATATATATATATATATATATAAATTGTCATTCGCAGACAGTACTGTTTCTCAACTCCTCAGTGCGACTAGACACCCGCATGCCTCAAGCCAGTATTGAAACCCAACCAATATCTGTATCAGTCAGAGTTTCTACCACTGAGCTATCGTCATTCGACAGAATGTAATAGCTAAATATAGCGTATTGTTATTACAAATGCAAACAAATGCCAATCAGCAATAGGGCTCTATTCATTTTACTGAAGAGCTTTGCATTAGCGCAGGTGGCTTTTGTTCATAGAATCAGATTGTCATTCAACAGTGCTCAAGTGAAATATATTTTCAAAGCTATATATATATATATATATATATATATATATATATATATATATATATATATATATATGTGTGTGTGTGTGTGTGTGTGTGTGTGTGTGTGTGTGTGTGTGTGTTTATGCGTGTGTGCTTTATTGAAGACGACAGACATTTTACTGCAATTAAGATTTTATTTAATTTTTCTTGTGTTCTGGACACAGGGTGTGTAGAAACTGTACAAACGTTCTATAATTCTGAGTGCTTTCGGCTACATTTTTAGCTATTATCAAGGATGATTTTACTTTTTACTTTTTAACTGAATGTATTGGTTGTGTGTATGTATCTAGATTGATAAGGATGTATTATTTTCCGAAAACAGTCAGCACATTGTGACCGTTTTCGTAGTTAATGTTATTGAGTGTTGGCTTTTTCTATTTTATTATTAAGGCTTCCATTATTTTTAATTTTTTTTTTTTCACATTTGGATGAGTTTTTTTAATATTTTCTACTAGTATGTTTCCATTGGAATCTGATATGTTTTCGTGTGTGTTTAAATGGGTTCTAATAGGATTGTGGTTGGATAGGTGTAAGATAAGGCATCTGGATAGGTATGTAGTAATGTGACCAATGCAATTATTTGAGTTTGGTTTGGTCAGGTACACCGTTACTTAGAGGGTAATGGAACTCGTAATTAATGTTCGTTCTTTCTAGTCTTGATTTGTCAGGTGTGTTGTTATATTTGAGGGTAAGATTAACTGATTTCAATTTTTTTATAATAGATAATTTAATTTTATTGTCCGAATAAACAGTGCCGTGTATTTCTTTATGATTAGAAATTCACTTAGAAATATAAGGAATAAATAATGGAAGCCTTAATAATAAAAACAGAAAAACCAACACTCAACAATATTAAAAACGAACACGACCAGAATGTTCTGTGTAGGGGAAATAAAACATTTCTATAAATCTAGATACATACACGCAATCCATATATACCCGGAATTTCAGGATATTTGGACAGTTTCAAAACATTCTGTGTCCAGAAATAAAAAAAAATAAATCCAATATTTTTTAAAATATTTTATTTATTTGAAAACTAGCGAAACCACGGGAGATGACTCTGTATAGAGAATAATAAAAAAAATATTTGTATGTGACGGAAAGATAAGCTCTGAGGGAAAAGAGCGACAAATGGAAGGTTTTTTTTTTATCTTTTTAATTTAGGAGGCAAAAACAGTTTCATGTACAAAAAAGTAAGACCATGTATGGTGTTGAAACGAAGCGTATGATGTCAGGACGATTCACTGGAAAGCGAACATCTGAAAGATCATGGTATGGGGGAAATATTAGAGCGAAAAAGGAAGGAAGTGTGAGGAAAAATCAAGATGGCGCTAATGAATGAAAAGACAATGGGTGGAAATATGTACAGAACCTTGGGCATTGGATGTTATATACAAGATTAAAGAGGAGAAAATAGAAAAAATGGTGTGCGAAGAAAAGGGACTGAAACTTTAACTTTAGCTATGTATGTATTGTCTTCAGTCCTTATCTATCTATCTATCCATCTATCTATCTATCTATCTATCTATCTATCTATCTATCTATCTATCTATCTATCTATCTATCTATCAATGACAGTCTGTTCATATCTATCTATCTATCTATCTATCTATCTATCTATCTATCTATCTCAGTCTGATCATTATCTATCTATCTATCTATCTCCGTCTCTTCATTATCTATCTATCTATCTATCTATCTATCTATCTATCTATCTATCACCATGTTCATATCTTTGTGTCTATCTATCTATCTATCTATCTATCTATCTATGACAGTCTGTTTATATCTATCTATCTATCTATCTATCTATCTATCTATCTATCTATCTATCTCAGGCTGATCATTATCTATCTATCTATCTATCTATCTATCTATCTATCTATCTATCTATCTCCGTCTCTTCATTATCTATCTATCTATCTATCTATCTATCTATCTATCTATCTATGTCAGTCTCTCCATATCTATCTATCTATCTATCTATCTATCTATCTATCTATCTATCTATCTATCTATCTATCTCAGTCTGATCATTATCTATCTATCTATCTATCTATCTATCTATCTATCTATCTCCATCTCTTCATTATCTATCTATCTATCTATCTATCTATCTATCACCATGTTCATATGTTTGTGTCTATCTATCTATCTATCTATCTATCTATCTATCTATCTATCTATCTATCTATCTATCTATCTATCTATCTATCTCCGTCTCTTCATTATCTATCTATCTGTCTATCTATCTATCTCCGTCTCTTCATTATCTATCTATCTGTCTATCTATCTATCTATCTATCTATCTCCGTCTCTTCATTATCTATCTATCTATCTATCTATCTATCTATCTATCTATCTATCTTATTCTCTTCTTATCTATTTATCTATCGATTATTTTGTTCTTATTTCTCGATTGATCGATCGACCTATCTAGACCTGTTCATATTTATCTGTTTATCTTGTACTGTTTATCTATCTATCTATTTGTATGCTCATATCCATATATAGAATTATCGATCAATCTCAGATTGTTCATATCTATCTTATTCTTTTTTCATCTATCAATCTATCTATCAATCTATCGAGCGATCTCACAGCCAGTTCATATCTATCTATTTATCTATCTATCTTATTCTGTTTTCATTTGTCTATAAATCTATCGATCTGTCTATTACAACTTGTTAATATCTATCTATCTATCTATCTATCTATCTATCTATCTATCTATCTATCCTATTCTATTCTATTATTATCTAGCTATCAATCTATCAATCGAACGATCGATCTGTCTCAACCTGTTCATACCTCTATCGGTAGATCGATCCAGCGAATGACTTTCATATATTTGCCGACTACTCGTTTCCAATCACCTACGTCAGCTAATGTGGCTAGCGAATCCATGTTGAAGACGCATTCTCAGACGCATTTGGGTTACTCTGACATACTGAAAGCCCAAGTGAGTTATATTACAAGCCCCACTTCCTTGTTATAATAAAACTATAAGTGGACCTTAATTGCAGTTTCTAGATGAAAGTGAACGATCTGCTGTGATTAACATTTTCAATAACGACAATGCTCTCATAATCCCTGTTATGAGGATTTGTAACTTATCAATAGATAGATAGATAGATAGATAGATAGATAGATAGATAGATATGAACAGGCTGAGATACGTACACACACACATATGAACATGGTGATAGATAGATAGATAGATAGATAGATAGATAGATAGATAGATAGATAGATAGGGACCGAAGACGATACATACATAGCTATCTGATCTCAACCGTTTTAAATTTAACGTCTAATACCCGACATGCTGGGCACAATATAGTGGACCACTCACATTCATTTCGTATTTCCTGCGAACTACTGCTTGATGGAACCTACTCCCCTGATTATGCTTCCCCAAAACACTACAATCTTAATCTGTTTATGTCTCGGCTTAACCGTTAATTTGCAGCCATATCTCTACGAATTGTGCTGCTTATGCTGCACAAACCAAATGAATAACAGAAAGAATATAACAAAAAAAAAAAAGGAAGAAAGCAAACTACTAATGCTAGGCCTGGGACATTTATTCGAGGAATTCTGAGTGACCATTGACAGGTCATATGAAAAATAATGGTCAGATACGATGAAATAATAGGTGGCCAGAGAACATACCTCGAGTGGCTCTTGGGCCTATTCAGAGTGAAATTTATTGTTCTCCATATTGGAATGTGTTACACACGCCGACAGCATCAATATAACATGTTGATAAATCCACCGTGGAGATATTTGAACCTGAGTCTTACTTTCGAAAAGCCAACATTCTAACCATTCAGCCAAGCGCCCACACACTCCTAGCAAAGGTAGAGAGGTAGACACCCATGCCCGCACGCACGTACACACACACATAAAGCCGCACACACACATACACACGCGCGCGCGCACACACACACATAAAATTTGATCAATAGTATTAAAGAGGGACGGGGCAAATGAAAGTGAAAATGAAATAAAAAGTAAAACAGTGAAAAGTAATCGAAACAAAAAAGGAAAAGAATGGAAACGAATGAATTAATATAGATATCAAAAATTAGAAAAGAAAGATAGATAGATAGATATATAGATATGAACAGACTGAGATAGATAGGATGAATAGATGATAGAATGAATAGATGATAGATAGATATGAACAGACTAAGATAGATAGATAGATAGATAGATAGATAGATAGATAGATAGATAGATATATGAATAGACTGAGATAGATAGATAGATATGAACAGACTGAGATAGATAGATATGAACAGACTGAGATAGATAGATAGATAGATAGATAGATAGATAGATAGATATGAACAGACTGAGATAGATAGATAGATAGATAGATAGATAGATAGATAGATAGATAAAATAGATAAATATGAATAGACTGTGATAGATAGATATGAACAGACTGAGATAGATAGATAGATAGATAGATAGATAGATAGATAGATAGATAGATAGATAGATAGAACGAAAAAGTGAAAGACAGAAAAAAGGAAAACAGAAAATGTAGAATTAATATTAAGAAAGGAATTCAGAAGAAAAAAAATGAAGTGAAAGAAATTAACAGAAATTTGAAAGGTACATAGAAAGAAAAAAGGAAAGAAAGAAATAACGGAAGAAAGAAAGAAAGAAATAAAGAAATTGCGAAGGAAAAAGAAAGAAAGAAGGAAGGAAGTTTGACATTTCCAGGGAAAAGCGAAAGAACGATAGAAATTGAAAAGTAAAAATGAAAAGAACAATAAAATTAATTGGAGAAAGAAAGAAAGAAAGAAAATAACAGGAAAAGGGAAAGAACGATAGAAATTGAAAGGTAAAAAAGAAAGAAAGAAAGAAAGAAAGAAAGAAAGAAAATACAAATTCTAGAGAGATGACCAGATGACATAAATGGGTGCCGCGTGTAAGCGAATGGTGTATGGATTGGTGTGAACAGGGATTGGAATACCGATGAAGACTTGGAACCAGCGGCACTGGAATGGTAGATGGACACGTCAAATTCGGGTATGATTAGGCCTTGGTTTGAATGTGGATCAAGCAAGGTCAGAGGACAGGGTTCATGGGGTCAGCGAATATTACGAGTTACTAGCCAATCTTTCATTGGCAACACTCATTGAACGGACAGATATTGTCGATGGATGAAATCTCATATATATATATATATATATATATATATATATATATATATATATATATATATATATATATATATATATATATATATGCATGCTTTTTTTTCTCTTTGACGACGTAATGAATAAAAAAGGAAAAACGGGGATATATAAAAGAAAAAATGATATCTAAAATAACGGAAGATATATAAGATGTAAAATATAGGTGGAAAATGTGATTTAAAAGGGGCTAGAAAAAATAAAAGTGAAGCAATAGAAAGAAAGAAAGAAAGAAAGAAAGAAAGAAAGAAAGAAAGAAAAAGAAAAGAAAGTTGGCATGGAGAAACTAAGTGAGGGCGAATAAAAGAAAGAAAGAAAGAAAGAAAGAAAGAAAGAAAGAAAGATAGAAAGTTGAGAGGAAGAAGTGAAGTAAGGGCGAATATAAGAAAGAAAGAAAGAAAGAAACAAAGAAACAAAGAAACAAAGAAAGAATAGTAAGGGAAAAGAAAGTAAAATTGAAAAATAAATATGTAAAACAAAATGAACGATAAATATAAGAAAGGAAAAGCGAATATACAAGAAAGAAAAAATGGAAACTGTAAAAAAGGAATATCAAAAGAAAGGAAATCAATACAAACGAAAGAAAGAAAGAAAGAAAGAAAGAAAGAAAAAGAAAGAAAGTTAAAAAAAGAAAAGACAATACAAGCAAAAAAAAAGAAAAAAGATAGAAAGAGAGAGAAGAAAGAAAGAAAGAATCTCAAAAGTAAAGGAAAGTTAAGAGAAAAGGAAAGTCAATACAAACGAAGGAAAGAAAGAGAGAAAGAAAGTGAAGTAAGTCAAAAGAAAAGGATAATCAAAAGAAAAGGAAAGACAATACAAAAAAGAAAGAAAAAAGAAAGAAAGAAAAAGAAAGAAAGAAAGAAAAAGAAAGAAAAAAGAAAGAAAGTTAAAAAAAGGAAAGACAATACAAGCAAAAAAAAAGAAAAAAGAAAGAAAGAGAGAGAAGAAAGAAAGAAAGAAAGAAAGAAAGAAAGAAAGAAAGAAAGAAAGTCAAAAGAAAAGGAAATCACAACACAAACCAAACGAAGATAGAAAGAAAAATAAAAAAAGAAAGTAAGGAAATAATTCTGGTTTCATCTGCAACAAAAAATGATGATTTTATTCACAACAATGCAGGCGCAAGAGAAAGAAACACGAGAGGCTAAAACATTGATAAAAAATAAGATCCAACCAACATGAGTCCAGTGAATGAAATAAAGAATTCAGATAAAAGCTGATCCGGGAAAGAAGGAAGTATCGATCGATTGAACGAATGTAAAAACATAAAGATAGAATATAACAAAAAAAAAAAAAAAATAAGGAAGAAAGCAAACTACTAATGCCAGACCTGGGACATTTATTCGAGGAATTCTGAGTGACCATTGACAGGTCATGTCAAAAATGATGGTCAGATTGGCGATACTATAAAATAATAGGTGGCCAGAGGACATAAACGGGTCAAAACTCAAATCTTCAACCCTGTTGGCCAATGTCAGGGGAAGAATACATTTTTTGAATACTTGCAACTGATATACCAGCCATCCTCTTGCACAACGCACATCCGTTTTTTTCCCACAATTTCTTTTGCTGTTTTATATGTGAGACATTTCTTGGCCGTTATATTGGGCAAAGACGAATATAAAAAAGTATTTTTTTAAATTACTGATGCTTTGTTAATGCAAGTTATAGGCAAACTAAAGCCATTGGAAAAGGCATGAATGCATCATTCCCTACCAATAAGAGAACAAACAGAGAAAATTGGTTTCTATTCATGTGAATAGACAACCAATCAGTAGAAGGATAACTCAAAATAAAATAAATAGACGCTAAAATTTCCTAAAAAGGCCACAACAAACAGGTGTTTTCATGGATAATGTTTCGGAATTCTTAATCAAAGTGCCGTGTACCAATTCCAGTAGTGATCGTTATATCTACTTACGCACAAATACCCTCAGCAAATGTATAAATCCACCTCTTTTCCCCCCAACTATTATTATATACACTAAAAATAAAAGTTGCATACAGTTGTCTTTATACAATCTTCTATTAAAACGATACTTCCCCTCCCCTAGATATCATGCCACGCTGCGTTGACTGCAGTTTAAATCTTAGTGTCCACCAAGAATCAAACAATAAAAATGATCTCATAAATTTCTATTCTCATCATAACAACAAAATAAATGATCATAGGGTTCTACTTCAGAGCACTCAGAATTTGCAACCCTTAATATTTACACGAAGAGGTGAAATATTGAAAATACACCCGAGACACTTCTAATTATTTTATATTCAATGTGAAACAAAATGCTCATAAAATATTTAAAAATAGAAAAGCGCCACCCTCGACAAACCCTAATTGTTCTGCACACTAATTCTATGACAACTACAATCGAAAAGAATTTTCCTAAACTCAACAGAAAATTTGTCGCAACTACATCTAAAACAATCAAAGACTTAATCAATAAAAGCCAAAACAACAGACCAAACTTTGAAGGAGTAATTTACTGTATCACTGTAAAGATTGCCAGAAATATTAAATTGGTGAAACTTCAAGAGATTTAAATAAAACATCATATGAACACAGATAAACTTTCAAGAGCAATACATCAAACGTATCAGTTGCTCACCGTAAAGATATTGACTGCAATTTTGATATAAAAATTCTACTCTAGTTAAAAGAGAAAATAATTAAATAAGACGAAAATATATAGAAAGTGCTTTAATTGCTAGATCTTCCACAGTAAATTTACGTCCAGGTTCTTACAGCGTTTAACCATTTTTGTCAGATTTTCTGTTATCCAGTTTAATAATAAAGATTCTTATTTATTTCTTTTTATGTGCCATGTCCTTTCAGGACGTAGGTGATCATGGCTCTCCACCTCCCTCTATCCCTTGCAGCTCTCAACAAGTTCCTTCCATAATCTTCCGCCCCCAGACCACGTTCTGTCATCCACTTGCTTAAATCCGCCCTTTTCTCTCTTTCCCTCTATTCGACCCGTGAGTATCAAATTCTCCAGGCCCTCTTTCCTCATTATCTGTCCCAGAAACTTCAGCCTCATGTTTCTGATATTAAGTATAAGCCTCCTCCTTGTTTGCAAACTCTCATTGTTGCTCACACGCTCGGGCCATGATATCTTTATGGAAGCAAAAAAAAAAAAAAGAATCTAAATTAAATTAGCTTGCTTATATAACCAAAACACATTTTTAAAAATATTCTAAATCTTAAATTCCCAGCGTCTCTCTTTCGTGCGCATGTTTAATCGTATCAACGTAAACAAAAACTATTTCTGATGAAGTCCTAAGAATCGAAACGTGTCACACTAAAACTTTTTTTCCATTTTTTTCATACATCTTTACTCCAAAAATGTTCTTTATATATAAAAAAATTATATATCGTTATCCCATATATCTCAATGAGAAACTACCAGTAAGATCTATCGAGCGTGTCAGTAATAATGGCAATGGGGTTTGGAAATAGCCACCATGTTCTCCTGTCTTGAAACCTTGTGATTTTCGTCTCCGCGGCTATGTGAAAGGGCAGGTCTATATTCCTCCTCTTTCTACAATCTAGAGTAACTTAAGAAAAGAATCACTGAGGCGCTGGAGAATGTTACGCAAGACATGCTACGGCGTGTTGGGCAGGAGCTAGACTACCATCTTGACGTGTGTCGTGTCACTGGTGGTGCATATATTGAACATTTGTGAAGGCTTGCGAAATTGTTTATAAAATCGATATCCCCTTGAATATCTTGTTAGAATGTTGGCAACGAAACCCTTTATTATTTATCCTGAGACCTATTTAATCTCTTTTCTCTGGGACGTGTAGGTACTCAGTTATTCACATTTTAAATGTTAAGTTTTGGGGATAGATTGTACCTACCAATTCACTCTTTTCTTGATACCTAACGACTTCTCCCTAACACTTAAAGCATTGATTACATTCTAGAAAATGTGTTTCGCTAATCCAACGCATCTCCACATCTAGTTTACATTTATTCTTTCGTCGGAAAGGGAATATATGTGCCTGCTTGTTCTGATGTCCCCATTTCGTAGACTGCAAATTGCACTGACTCTTTTACTGGCAGACATGTATTCTGTCTTCTTGCAGTTAATATTTATCCTTACTTTTACAACCTAAGAATTTTTCAGTTTTTCTTTCAAACTGACTCTTCATAATTGCAATAATATGTACCCTTTTAGGTTCTACTTGCTGGGCTCATAACCTTTGTTGGCCATGTTCACCATAGTCTATGAATATAGAATACAGCGCAGTACGTAATCTGTTCAATGAAACAACATTAAAGATTAACACTCACGTGTCAGACTCTCTACTGAGTCTGACTATATCGCCAATACCACCAGCAGCTGTTCCGTTTATTCTTCAGTCTTCGATATCAAAGGCTGCCAGTGAATATTCGGAAAAAAAACATGGCCGCCTTTATACACGTCGCATTGAATATTTTGAGCCTTCTGATTGGTTAACCCATCTATTGGTGAACTATAAAATGAGTCAGCTCATTTTGATTGGATCACTAGTACACCAGGGTATCCAAAAATTCCAACACTACTTCTCCTACAACTTTCTCATTGCCCATAAGCTGGGTTCATGTTATTCTCACATTAGATCCGTCGAGCCACAATATGAAGAGATAGACACTGATTATTTCAGCATCCTATACCTAATCCCAAACGACTATACGAAGAGAAACGCCGATTATGCTTCTCCTGGTGCCAATGTATTGATGAGGAAAGGTGGAATGCTGGCGAAGAGATAGTATATACTTTGGACGAGAGAGATCTTGAACAGAAAATCAGCATCTTCTACAGACAATAGGACTCAAACCTTTCCAAACCTGAAACTATGGAATTGGAACGAAAGCAATGGTGACATCTACTCTGAATCGATGATTAAAAATTTTAGGATGTGGTATCTGTAAATACTCGTCAACTACCTCAGCGTATACATCCATTATACCAAATTTACTATCGGAAGTATTGGAAATAAAATACGCTACGCTAAAGGTAGTTTCTCACAACACCACCAATTGCTACTAAATCAAAATATTAACAGGGAAATTCGAGTCATATCCTTAAATAAACTTGTCAGATCGTGTCTTTCACACGGCTGTTATGCATGGCATCAAATCTATTCCCATATAGCTGTATAAAACCGCCTTTTTTTAAAATTACTGGTTAAAAATTGCTTTGAACAAATGAAACCTGTGGGTCTTGGTGAATCCCACACTTCTTGGAAACTTGTTGATTAGCGATATATAATCACAAATTAAGGATTGTTTCAAGTAAAATAAACAACACTACTTGAGGACTTTCAGCAAGAGCAACAATAAAAAATGATCTGGAATTGGATTGAAATCAGTGATGACACTTATCCTGAATCCATAATTGAAAAAAAAATCAGGGTCTGGTATAAGAAAATACCAAACTCGCCAACTAACTAGATTTATGGATCAGTTGTACATAGAATAGCCTGCATTTCACCTGACACCGCAAATTGCTACAAAGCGAAAACATCAACCCAAAAACTCGAGCCATGTTCTTAAATATCCCTGTCAGATCAAAACTCTCATATAGATATCATGCATGGCGCCGAATCCTTTCAGAAATATCTAAACTGTCAGTTGTATACAATCTCTTTCACTCTCTGGGCCGGGCAGTGAGTCGGAAAGGAAACAAATGGTAAGCAGTATTACAAAGGTCTGGTTTAGTTTGGTTTGGTTTATTTTGTTTTACCGCATATCAACCTCAATGGGTTATTTAATAGCAACAAGCATTTCTGGATAGGTTTGTACGAATAGAATATATATTATTTGAAGAAATCATTTCGTAGATCAGGATTCATTGACGTAAAGAGATTTTGTAGAGAAGCTTGTTTGGTTTATTTTGTTTTACGACATATCAACCTCAATAGATTATTTAATAGCGACAAACATTTCTGGATAGGTTTGTATGAATAGAATATTCATTATTTGTAAGAAATCCTTTTGTAGATCAGGATTCATTGACGTATTTTTATAAAAAGATTTTGGAGAGAAGCTGGTTTGGTTTATTTTGTTTTACAGCATACCAACGGGTTATTTAATGTCGACAATTTTTTAAAGATAGCACTGTATGAATAGGATGAACCTATTTTTGTAAAGAGGGTGTTTCTGAAGGGACAGTTATATCATGGTAACATTTTTATTAATTTATTGCTGGCAATATTTTTTTTTTTTAAATATACTGCCGGTAAAACATTTTTTCCCAAAAGTTTATTGGTGGTATTTT